CCTGTTGCCGAGTCAAAATGTAGCCTACTTTTGGTGTATCATTTTACTGCAATAAATGCTTAATTCTGCAGGAGTTAATATTATATTAGGCTATGTGAGAGGTTATAGACCTACAGTCAGTGTCCAGATTTCAGTTTCCATTTAACCCATCTGAACAGTAGGCTATAGTTCACTTGACGTGCCATAGGCCTATTTGAAGTCCCCGTCTTGTGACTGTCGAATATGTATAGCGCCTCACAATCGTCACACATAACAGTCGGCACTGCTATCATCCTCTTTTACCACTTCACCAAATCTTTCCCAAACATTACCTTTCTGGCCCTCCCTTCTCCTTATTTTCAACTCTCAATTTCGTAGCTTTTCTCTTACTGAATTAAACTATTTTTGCCTCTGTGGCTCGACATTAACTTTTTCTGTGCGCTCCCAAAAGCATTTGGCGATTGGCGTGTAGGTTATTTGGCGCGCATACAGTTAGGCCATAGGCTTACGCACTAATGCCAGATAGCCTAAAAATTAATGAAAGAAAAAACTCAATTTAGCCTATAGATAAAAATTACACAATAACTATACATTTAGGCCTACAGATTTTTTAAGGTATTTGTTTTCTCTTTATTCAACCTGCCCGCCACCCACCCGCCTTTCATCCACACAATATTTCATGATCCGAAACCCGCCCACCCCACGGATATAACTGCAGGGACTAAATGTGTCAACCTGCACGTCACTAGACCTGGCGAAACAGTGACTACTGCTGTGGAAGTGCAGGATATGTGTAGTTGAGGTCTTGAGAAGCCAATGGGCAACCAGCCTCTGAATGCTACCAGACAGACTTGACCAGACGGAAGGTCAGAGGTCAAGATGGGTGTGTCGGTCAGTGGGACAGATAGCTCTCTATACAGTAGGGCTCCAAAAACGCTGACACACACCATCCCCACTGCAACTGTAGTCGGTTTTAGTCCCACCCTTCTCTCCATGCCGCCCTAAGGGAGGTATAGTGTTTCAACCCCGTGCTGAAATCTGCACCGTGCCAAAGAGACCATTGGCCATCTCAGCAATACTCCACAACTGTGCCACCCTATGATTGGTCTTTCGGGAGGCAAAAGGCACCTCTGATAGGCCAGACTCACTGCTCTTGTTTTGTTCCACAGGGTAGCTCGTTAACTGGCATCGGTCTTGGGACCGAGCCAGGAGGCACTCCTCATAGTAGAAATCGATTAGAGAAAGAGCCTGATATTCTATACCTTGGTGTTTTTTCTCTCACTGTGGACTCAAAATTAGAGCTGAAAGCATCCACATAATATCCCAGGAGTTTGTGCCTGTTTGTGTGTATGAAGCATGAGTGATTCTGCTAATGTGTATCCATTATGTGCATGTCTTGATGTAGTACTGCTGTTTTAGTATCTTCTCTCTCTTATAAGCTCAATGTTTTCCCACAGTATATCAGTGTTTTAAGCGCTAGGGAAACTAAGCCTGCAGACATGCTACCACTGGTGTGCTCTGTGTGAAAACAAGTCAGTGGGAGAATCTCAATTGCATTTCCTTGATTTCTCGCATTCTCTGTCCTCACCTATTTTTTTTAACCTTTAATGTAACATATGTATATATATATATATATATATGTAGATACTGTATGTGTATATATATATATAAATATATATATATATATATATATATATATATATACTGTATATATATATATATATATATTTATATATATATATATATATATATATATATATATATATATATATATATATATATATATATACAGTACCAGTCAAAAGTTTGGACACACCTACTCATTCCAGGGTTTTTCTTTATGTTTATTATTTTCTACTTTGTAGAATAATAGTGAAGACATCAAAACTATGAAAAAACACACATATATATATTAAATTTGAGATTCTTCAAAGTAGCCACCCTTTGCCTTGATGACAGCTTTGCACACTCTTGGCATTCTCTCAACCAGCTTCATGAGGTAGTCACCTGGAATGCATTTCAATTGGTAAAATACCAAGTCCATATTATGGCAAGAACAGCTCAAATAAGCAAAGAGAAACGACAGTCCATCATTACTTTAAGACATGAAGGTCAGTCAATCCGGACAATATCAAGAACGTTGAACGTTTCTTCAAGTGCAGTCACAAAAACCATCAAGCACTATGATGAAACTAGCTCTCATGAGGATAGCCACAGGAAAGGAAGACCCAGAGTTAACTCTGCTGCAGAGGATAAGTTCATTAGAGTTACCAGCCTCAGAAATTGCAGCCCAAATAAATGCTTCACAAAGTTCAAGGAACAGACACATTTCAACATCAACTGTTCAGAGGAGACTGTGTGAATCAGGCCTTCATGGTCAAATTGCTGCAAAGAAACCACTACTAAAGGACACCAATAAGAAGAAGAGACTTGCTTGGGCCAAGAAACATGAGCAATGGACATTAGGCCGGTGGAAATCTGTCCTTCTGTCCAAATTTAAGATTTTTGGTTCCAACCGCCGTGTCTTTGTGAGACGCAGAGTAGGTGAACGGATGATCTCTGTATGTGTGGTTCCCACCGTGAAACATGGAGGAGGAGGTGTGATGGTGTGGGGGTGCTTTGCTGGTGACACTGTTGGTGAGTTATTTAGAATTCAAGGCACACTTAACCAGCATGGCTACCACAGCATTCTGCAGCGATATGCCATCCCATCTGGTTTGCGCTTAGTGGGACTATCTTTTTTTTTCCAACAGGACAATGACCCAACACATCCAGGCTGTGTAAGGGCTATTTGACCAAGAAGTAGAGTGATGGAGTGCTGCATCAGATGACTTGACCTCCACAATCACCCGACCTCAACCCAATTGAGATGTTTTGGGATGAGTTGGACCGCAGAGTGAAGCAAAATCAGCCAACAAGTGCTCATCATATGTGGGAACTCCTTCAAGACTGTTGGAAAAGCATTCCTCATGAAGGTTGTTGAGAGAATGCTAAGAGTGTGCAAAGCTGTCATCAAGGCAAAGGGTGGCTACTTTGAAGAATCTCAAATATAAAATATATTTTGATTGGTTTAACACTTTTTTGGTTACTACATGATTCCATATGTGTTATTTCATAGTTTTAATGTCTTCACTATTATTCTACAATGTAGTGTACTGTATGTAAATTAGATAGTTCTGTATTACATTTTCTATAAATTAACAAACATTTCTAAAAACATATTTTCACTTTGTCATTATGGGTATTGTTAGATAGGTGGGGGGAAAAAATCTATTGAATCCATTTTGAATTTAAGCTGTAACACAACAAAATGTGGAATAAGTCAAGGGGTCTGAATACTTTCTGAAGGCACTGTATATACTGTATGTAGAGACAAACCTCTATGGGGGCTGATTTAGGTGTGATGTATGGCCAAGTGGTGGGCCAAGTGTCCCTTCCCACAATGCAATGGGCTTCACCCAGCGATCCTAGGAATCAATCTCCATCAGCTACGGCAGCGTGGCTCCCTCCGTCAGCAACACGTCTGCAGAGCATGCACATGCCCTGCCTCTCTCTCTCTTTCACACACACACACACACACACACACACACACACACACACACACACACACACACACACACACTGTAAGTGCTGTGCGTGTCAGCAAATCCCAGCCGCTAAAATCAAGTGTGGGTGGACCCAAACTGCATTTCTGAGAATCTGTGTGTGTGTGTTTGCTCAGTGAGCTTGTGCATGAATACATGTGTGTGGATCTGCCTGCGTGTGTGTGTTTTGTGTTTTTGCGTGCGTGTGTGTTTATGTGCATTCTTTGGTACATCTTCACGTGTGTGGGTGTGTGTGCGTGCACGTGTGTGTGTGTGTGTGAGAGCTGTCATCCTCCTCCTCCTCTACAGTGCAGGCCAATGATCAGGAGTGTCCCAACCAACCCACTAAATTAGAAGGGACCACGTGAAGTATAACTGGGAACAACTGTCTGGACGTTGGTGTTTTTATTTCACTCAGCCCCCAAGCTCCTCCCCTTTTCTCTCTGTAGAAGTAATCCATTCTGTGCTAACTCTTTCGCTCTGACCCATTTCTGTTTTGTAATTCTATTTATCCTTTATGTCAGCAAAAGAGAGTCCTGGCTAAGACAAACAGCAACATGCATTTAGGCTAGGAGTGTCACTGTAAAACAAGGCTCAACAGAAATAATACATTTTTCGTTGCACCGAGTGTACACCAAGTGTGGATTGTGTCCGTCTCACATATTGACCCTTTGTGCCATATACTCTAGAGGAATGAAGCTACTGTATGTTTGAATTGAAGCTGTAAAACATATAAAATCTAGGTGTCACCTGTTGTACCACCAAAACATATAAAAACGGTTGTACTACCAACTTTCTACCACTAACTGTTATACAAATGAATGAGAATGTAGGTTCAGGGTTTGGCATGTGTGTACGTCATACAGTGTATGTGTTACGTAACAGGGTCTTTGTCTTCCATCTCCAATTCAAGCAATGAGGCCCCAGCTGAAAAAGCTCTTCTCTACTTATTCAAAGACTAACCACACTGGAGGTTATTCACTCCAGCGCTGCGTCCTGTCCAGAAAAGCATTTCCTCCCCCCTGATCTCAATACACCCTCAATGCCCCCTTTGTACCCATACCCCTCATAGCCTCCATCCCCCACACCCATGGCGTCACAGAACTGATTTGTACCCCATTCCGTGATGAGTGGCAGGCTTTTCTGTTCTCTGTATTGATAAACTCTGTGACATTTTGAGTAGGACCTCTTTTGATTGGCGCTAAACCCCATCTAAACTATCTCTTCTGGCCAGGGTCATTGTAGTGCTGCACTCTTCCCTTGAACTTGTGGCATTCCCCTCTTTGAGATTAGTGCCCTGCTGTGAGCTGATACAGTGGGAATGAGTGGGGATCCTTTTTGGGATACACACACATAGAGAAGCACACAGACACACACACAACTACTCTCACACGTAAGAATATTGCACCCTATTCCCTGTCCACACATATTGTGACAATGCTTGCACGTACACACATACTCACACACACAAACACACACACACACACACACACACACACACACACACACACATAGTAGTTGCTCTCAGTAGTGTTTTCCTTTTGTTTGCAGCCTATTGTCAATCCCAACATCACACAACTCCCGACTAAAAGTGATAAAGTGATCTGAGGCCTGCACCCGACCCAACATGAGCAGCTCTCGCGCCAACACGAGGCCCAACTAGAGGAGCATGTTAGAGTAGCATCTGTGCCATGTAGACCTACAATGAAGACTCATTAGCCTTTCGCCAAAGCTGAGCACTATTCAATGAGGTCAGGTGGCTATTCTATTCTATGGGTCATTCAATTAATGGGCTCTGATAGGACCTGCAAGTTTGTGTGTGTGCGAGAAAGAGCCTTGAGAAAGGCTACTCTGGCTTTTGATTGAATCCTACGTCATAAGGGAACAAAGACCATGGAAAATGTAACCCCCGCTTTCTCTCTTTCTCTCCCCAGTCGATGTGAGCGTGGCACTGCCCATGCAGGTGCCCCCGGCTGCCATTCCCATGGACCTGCGCCTGGACCAGCCCTTTGGCCTAGCACCGCGACCAGACGACCAGGGCCACCAAGGACAGGTCCCAGGTCAGCGGGAGCAGCAGCTGCAGCAGGAGTTGCTGGCCCTCAAACACAAACAGCAGATCCAGAGACAGGTGCTCATCGCTGAGTTCCAGCGGCAACATGAGCAGCTCTCGCGCCAACACGAGGCCCAACTAGAGGAGCATGTTAAGGTGTGTGTGTGTCCTCTCCTCTCCCTTCGCCTCCATCTTTTTAGTGATCTCTCCTCACCTCGCAACTTATTCGACCCCTCATCCCAATCATACCCCCCCATCACCTACTCCTCTTCCCCCTCCCTCCATCTCTCCATCCCTCCTTCCCCTTAACTTGAGTGGATGTCTGCAGAAAGCTTTTCATTGCAACAGGGACTTGGCTCAGCAGAATCCCAATGTGCTGTGGTAAGGACAGAGGGGAAGGGTGTAGGAGAGGACATGCCTATATGTGCCTGTACACGTGTGTGTTTGTGTGCCTGTGCATGCGCACGCTAGTGATAAGCGGGTCAGCTGTTTGTTCACCTGCACCCGCCCACAATTGCTACTAACCCATCCGCAACCGCCCGACTATAAGTGATAAAGTGATCCGAGGCCTGCACCCGACCCTAACCCGCAAATATAGAAAATACGCTGTAGCCTACAGTCAGAGATGCAGGAAAGATTGTTTGACAGCGAGTGTTGGATTTTTGTTGTTGTTGCCTAATTTAGATAGGCCATTGTTTCTGCTTATAATTTACTACATTTTGGTAGGCTATTTGTTAGTCAACTTGTCTATAATTAGATACATGAAGCTTCTCTTCTGACATTACTGCCCCAGAAGACTAAATAAACCCTTGCTCACCAGAAAATATGTCATACATCAAGAAAATGAATGCTTCAATCTAGTTGACATCTGTAAAGTTTTCTCTTTCATCTCTGCTTCTCTCCAGCAATAAAGATGGCACTTTTACAGATGGTCCCTAACCAATCATTCATTCTCTCAAGATGCTGAAATATATCGAATGTCCAAAATGTACATTTGGTATATCATTTTACTGCAATAAGTGCTTAATTCTGCATGAGTTAATATTATATTAGGCTATATGAGAGGTTATAAACCTACAGTCAGTGTCCAGACTTTCATCCACACAATATTTCATGACCCTAAACCCACCTGCCCTGTGGATATAACCGCTGGGACTGCGGATTATGATTCAACCCACGCATCACTAGCGCATGCGTGTGTGTGATGTAACCGGATCTGCCGGTTGCGTTGGGCTGCTTATCTGATCTCAATAGGAACCCAGTCCTTGGGAAACTATGTATGCATGTGTACCAGCGCATATGTGTGTGTGTGTGTGACAGCGAGAGAAACTGCTCGCTCTGCAAACAGGCCTCCGCGGTGTTGCCACGGCCGCAGCCTCAATCAGGCAATAGGAGCGAGGCAGCCCAGGCTAAAAATAACTGTCTGAAAGCTCCAGTCACAGCAGCCAGTGGCCTTCAGCACCAGCTAGGGCCGGATGCACAGTGATTGACACATCACTAGCTCTACGTTATGCCTTGACAGCTTGCTGACTGTATTCTATTTTGCTCCGTTCCAGTCAATACCCACCTGTAATGGGTTGAAATTAATGTAAACACTCTCCATAGTGAGGCTTTTACCATTCAGACATCTTCTTAAAGAGTAACTTTCATTTTAAAAAAAGTATTAGTTATAGTGAAACAAGTAAATTCTGGTCTTCATTTTGACAGTTTGTTGCAAAAGTGATATATTTAGGTCTTTTAGTAGTAAATCTAGCACTTTTTGCCCCTAGCGGTTCAACTCTACCATTGAAATCGTGATGTAGAGGCACCTTCAGAAGGTTCCTCTACGTCATCTCAAAGGAGGGGTTCGGTATGAAATACACTCTCTTCTAGATGAGCTGGATGGTACCACCTCAAGGCTTACTATAAATGCAGGTGACAGTGCGCCTTATTTGGCAATGGTCTTGGTAAGTGGAGTGTGCCAATAAATATTGCATGATGCTTCCGTGACTAGACTATTGACGTAAGGCACATTTCCACATATGACCAAATTCAAAGTTTCATACACATCTATGTGCTTTTACGAAGAAAATAAACATGTAGGCTATGAGGATTAAACGTTTTTATATTCGTAGCTACATCCATCGTAACAAGAAATAGATGACAATGGTGGTGATGTCAACTTGTTTTTTTCCCATATCACTATGACTGATTAGTGGTGCAGTCTGCTGAGAGTTGGCTCATAGTTCAATGGTTATGAGTTCTAATCCCACATGGGGAAGATATCTTATTTTATTTACAATATTCATTCCGTGCCCACACACTTCTAATTCTGAAAAGTAAAAGCAGACATGTGAGAGGGGTCGCCCTGGTAGTAGTAGTGGGTTTTATACAGTACCCAATACCAATCTGTGAGTTAATTTGTCCATTGGAAAAAAGCTACTGCGTAAATACTGCATTGCGGGTTGGATTGAATTGAGCCCCTAATCTTCATTTTCAAGGTGATGATTGCACTTTTCTTCCCAACACAATACTGCAATAAATTTGAGTCCACATTTTAAAAAAAGAATGTGTGCCCTGTGGAGGATTCAAAGGTACACTGCAAGTGGCTATAGATGTCAGGATATCAACACTTTACCACTGTGAGCTAACTGTCTAGAACTGTACTGCTTGTGATGCACATCATTTTATTATCAGAGTGTGCCAATGGACTTCTGGTAAGTATGATTTAGTGAGAAAGTGTTGGGATCAGGTACAACTACGTTTACCCACCCCCAAATGAATATTTATGAGCAATTCCCCACACCCACAACTTCTCACCTGAACATTTGAAGGGGTTGGGCAAAGGCTGAAATAGGCGTTGAGAGTTTCCAAGCTGATATGAAATATGTAGGGGATACTTGCTGTTGAAATCTAGTGATATTGATGTCAGCCAGTGGTCTTAGATTTTTGCCATTGAAAGGAAGTGTGTATGTGTGTGTGTGTGTGTGTGTGTGTGTGTGTGTGTGTGTGTGTGTGTGTGTGTGTGTGTGTGTGTGTGTGTGTGTGTGTGTGTGTGTAGAAGTGTGTGTGTTTTGTTTATCTAGACGACGTGATATCAGACAATCTGTGACCATGTCTCTCCCCTCTGTCTCCCTCATGTCCCTCCATCCCTATCCCCCATCACTCTTCTCCTCCCTCTCCCCATTTCCTGTGCAATACCAGATGCCCTGTAGCAGTGCCATCAGCAGGCAGTTTTACCAACATCGTAGTAATATTGTAGTAACGTTGTGGTAACGTTGTGTTGCAGCACCAGCAGGACCTCCTGGCCCTGAAGCATCAGCAGGAGCTGCTGGAGCACCAGAGGAAGATGGAGAGACACCGCCACGAGCAAGAGATAGAGAAACAACAGAGGGAGCAGAAACTACTGCTGCTCAAGAACAAGGAGCGTGGCCAGGAGAGTGAGTGGATCAGAATGACATCCTTATATAGTGTTGGGCTAATGCTACATTGCTATATAACGGGCCGATGCTGCATTACCACGTTGTGGCTAACACTACATATCACATTGTGTACATATTCACATATTCACTACATATACATATTCACATTGTGGCCAATGCTGCATTACCACATTGTGGCTAACACTACATATTCACATCGTGGCCAATTATGCATTATCACGTTGTGGCTAACACTACATTATCACATTGAGGCTAACACTATCATATGTTGTGGTTAACTCGCCATCGTGGTCCTCTGTAGCTCAGCTGGTAGAGCACGGCGCTTGTAACGCCAAGGTAGTGGGTTCGATCCCCGGGACCACCCATACACAAAAAAAATTTATGCACGCATGACTGTAAGTCGCTTTGGATAAAAGCGTCTGCTAAATGGCATATTATTATTATTATTATTATTATTATTATTATTATCATATACCCCGTGGCCAATGATACATTATCACATTATGGCCAAAGCTATTATATGCTGTGGCTAACTCGAGATTATAATAAATGGTGGCCAGTGCTACATTTTCACATTGTGGCTAAAGCACATTATCATGTTGTGCCTAAGGCTGCAATTACACGACGCAACTTGCACACAATGTTTGTTGCAGTTGCAGGTTGCAAGTGACATCTCAAGCAACTTTGCTGTTACATGAAGCAACTGAAACATGACTCAAATTACATGCAACAGCCAATCAAATTGAAGCTGCTTCTGTCATATTATTTGAGAATTCTAAACTCACCCCATGTCATCTGCTGCATTAGGCCTCATTGCCTCACTGTGCATCGTACATTGTGAATACGGAGTTAGCGTAACTCAGCGTTCAAACGGGGCTGCAATGGAAAGAAATCAAATCAAATCAATCAAACATTATTAAAGTGACTAATGTTCCATTTCTTAAAGTGGCCAGTGATTTCCATAGGCAGCAGCAGCCTCTAATGTGCTAGTGATGGCTATTTAACAGTCTGATGGAGATAGAAGCTTTTTTTAATTCCCTCGGTCCCAGCTTTGATGCACCTGTACTGACCTCGTCTTCTGGATGATAGCGGGGTGAACAGGCAGTGGCTCGGGTGGTTGATGTCCTTGATGATATTTTTGGCCTTCCTGTGACACCGTGTCCTGTAGGTGTCCTGGAGGGCGGGTAGTTTACCCCCGGTAATGCGTTTGGCAGACCGCACCACCCTCTGGAGAGCCCTGCGGCTGCGGTTGCGGGCGGTGCAGTTGCCGTTCCAGGCGGTGATACAGCCCGACAGCATGTTCTCAATTGTGCATCTGTAAAGGTTTGTGAGGGTTTTAGGTGCCAAGCCACATTTCTTCAGCCTCCTGAGGTTGAACAGGCTCTGTTGCGCCTTCTTCACCACACTGTCTGCGTGGGTGGACCATTTCAGTTTGTCAGTGATGTGTACGCCAAGGAACTTGAAGTTTCCACCTTCTCCACTGCGGTCCCGTCGATGTGGATAGGGGGGTGCACCCTCTGCTGTTTCTTGAAGTCCACAATCATCTCCTTCGTTTTGTTGACGTTGAGTGAGAGGTTATTTTCCTGGCACCACACTCCCAGAGTCCTCACCTCCTCCCTGTAGGCTGTCTCGTCATTGTTGGTAATCAAGCCTACTACTGTTGTGTCGTCTGCAAACTTGATAATTGAGTTGAAGGCGTGCTTGGCCACGCAATCATGGGTGATCAGGGAGTACAGGAGGGGGCTGAGCACGCACCCTTGTGGGGCCCTTGTGTTGAGGATCAGGGAAGTGGAGATGTTGTTTCCTACCTTCACCGCCTGGGGTTCAGACCCAGGGCCTCGAGCTTAATGGTGAGCTTGGAGGGTACTATGGTGTTGACTGCTGAGCTATATTCAATGAACAGCATTCTTACATAGGTATTCCTCTTGTCCAGATGGGATAAGGCAGTGTGCAGTGTGATGGCGATTGCATCGTCTGTGGATCTATTGTGGTGGTAAGCAAATTGAAGTGAGTCTAGGGTGACAGTTAAGGTAGAGGTTATATGATCCTTGACTAGTCTCTCAAAGCACTTCATGATGACAGAGGTGTGTGCTACGGGGCGATAATAATTTAGTTCAGTTACCTTTGCTTTCTTGGATACAGGAACAATGGTGGCCATCTTGAAGCATGTGGGGACAGCAGACTGGGAAAGGGAGAGATTGAATATGTCCGTAAACACACCAGCCAGCTGGTCTGCGCATGCTCTGAGGATGCGGCTAGGGATGCCATCTGGGCTGGCAGCCTTGTGGGGGTTCACCTGCTTAAATTTCTTACTCACGTCGGCCACAGAGATGGAGAGGCCACAGTCCTTGGTAGTGGGCCTCGTCGGTGGCACTGTGTTATCCTCAAAGCGGGCGAAGGTGTTTAGCTTTTCTGGAAGCGAGACGTCGGTGTCGACGACCTGGCTGGTTTCCTTTTGTAGTCCATGATTGTCTGTAGACCCTGCCACATATGTCTCCTGTCTGAGCCGTTGAATTGCGACTCCACTTTGTCTCTATACTGATGTTTTGCAAGTTTAATTGCCTTGCAGAGTGAGTAGCTACACTGTTTGTATTCTGCCATATTCCCAGTCACCTTGCCATGGTTAAATGTGGAGGTTCATGCTTTCAGTTTTGCGTGAATGCTGCCATCTATCCACGGTTTCTGGTTAGGGTAGGTTTTAATAGTCACAGTCGGCATAACATCACCTATACACTTCCTGATAAACTCAGTCACCGTTTCAGTGTATTCGTCTAAATTATTTCCGCAAGCTACCCGGAACATATCCCAGTCCACGTGATCAAAACAATCTTAATGCATGGATTACGTTTGGTCAGACCAGCATTGAATAGTCCTTAGCACGGGAACTTCCTGTTTGAGTTTCTGCCTTTAGGAAGGGAGGAGCAAAATGGAGTCGTGGTCAGATTTTCCGAAAGGAGGGCGGGGGAGGGTCTTATAACCATCCCAGAAATTCGAATATCAATGGTCGAGGATTTTAGCAGCCCGAGTACAACAGTCGATATGTTGATAGAACTTCGGCATCCTAGTCCTCAAATTTGCTTTGTTAAAAACCCCGGCTACAATAAATCCAGCCTCAGGATATGTGGTTTCCAGTTTGCATAAAGTCCAGTGAAGTTCTTTGAGGGCCGTCGTGGTATCGGCTTGAGGGGGGATATACACGGCCGTGACTATAACCGAATAAATGTATCTTGGGAGATTGTGAGGTATTCTAGGTTGGGTGAACAAAAGGACTTGAGTTCCTGTATGTTACTACAATTACACCATGAGTCGTTAATCATGAAACACACACCTCCGCCCTTCTGCTTCCCGAAGATATATTTATTTCTGTCTGTGCGATGAACTGAGAACCCATCTGGCTGGACCGATTTTGACAGAATATCCCCAGAGTGCCATGTTTCCGTGAAACAAGGTATGTTACAGTTCTTGATGTCTCTCTGGAAAGAAATCCTTGCCCTGAGCCCGTCGACCTTGTTATCCAAAGACTGAACATTAGCGAGTAGTATACTTGGAAGCGGTGGGTGGTGTGCGCGCCTCCTAAGTCGAACCAGCAGGTCGCTCCGAGTGCCTCTCCTCCGCCGGCGATGTTTTGGGCTGGCCGCTGGAATCAGTTCAATTGCCCTGGGGAGAGCAAACAAAGGATCTGCTTCGGGAAATCGGGAAATGGGTCTACATCTAATGTGTTAGCATCAACATCCGGGTAATTGTCTACGCTTCTTTTCAAGCTTTGATTGACATACCAATGAATAAATGAAACATTATATGAACTCTTTATGGTGTTTTAATGTAATTTAAAAGGTAATACAATGGATAAATTGGGTAGAAAATGCAGTTTCGCCACTGGACAGGTCTCCCCATCCCGCATCCGCTCTAAGCCAAAGCTTCCCCTGTGCCTTTTTTAGAGAGACACGGCCCACCCCCATTACTCCTCCTGCAGGTGGCAGAGATGGACCATGAAATTAATGAAGCTATCAGAGGTGACCTGGAAAGTATATTTGTGTTGGCCGTAAATAAGGTCAAGTGTACAGAACACTGTGTGTACCATAGGCAGTGAGTTAAAGTTACATCGTGATTTCACAAATTATTTGTATATCCAACCTTTTCGTTATTGTACAAGGATCGATTTAGACAATGCTGGCTGTACAATTTAGCTAGCTAGACACATTTTAATTGCCACACTGTTTTAGCTATCTAGCAATGAGCTAACCAAGCTAGTAACAAACTTGATAGCTAGTGCAGCTCATGTTGAACAATTACAGTTGAAACTGGTCAGAGAGAGGTCTGGGTTCACCTCGAAAATGTTATGTATTGACTTCCAAACCATTACTAGCCCTGATGCCAGTATTTATTTATACAGCTCCAGTTTGGGTAATGTCTCTTCTGTTCACCTTGATCATGGTTCCCGCAGCAGCGACAGTGGTGTTGTTGACATGACAACTGTGCCGGAGTTCCGAACCTTCCAATGGATCATGTGACAAAAGCATTAGTTTTGATTGGCTGTTGCGTTCAACTAGTTGCACAAAGTTGAAGTTTTAACCGGATGCAACCAAGTTGCAGATTATTTGCTTATTAGTTGCAGGTGGTGTTTCATGAAGCAATAAAGAAGCAACTCAGTTGCAAGCAACAAAAATTGCGTGAAAGTTGCTTTGTGTAACCCCAGCCTAACACTACAGTGTCATGGTAAATGCTACTGTACATCATCATAGTATTAGTGGGACAGTGTTATCATTAGCATCAATGATTATGCAGATTGAGGGATGAGAGCAAGAGTTGGGTAAATAGCAGTAGACCCTAACTTACCCAGCTAATGTTTTACCCAAACTCTTGTCAAACTCTTCCCCAACGCTCCTGTCCTGGATCTCTCCCAGTACAGTACACCCTAACACTAGCTCAGACATAGTGCCAGCGTTGGAATTTGGAACACAGCCACAGTGTGTCAGAGGCTATGTCAATAACTCAATTTTGACAAAAATGCAGATAGAACCTTGTAGTCCCAAGCTCTC